CTAGATCTATATCTATCTATTATCTATCTATCTATCTACATCTATCTATCTATCTATCTATCTAACAAATATATTTCTACATTTAGATTCAAAAAATACAGTTATAGCACTCCTCCTTGTGATGCACCTCCGGTGACTCGATTCCGAATCTTTTAATAACCTACCGTTGAGTTAATAATTCTACTACCAAGCATCGAAACTATCCAACTCATCGGAAAATCTGAATTCCAAATATAGTTAACTCAATATTTTAACACGTTAGGTCATTATCACAGTCACTTACAAATAGTGAGTTAAATAAGTCATTACAATGATCGCTTACAAATAGAATGTCTCTTTGTTTAGAGTATTCACAAGAACTTTTACTATTTTTAACAAAATTTATAAATTTGTTCATATTTAAAAATAGTTTTAATTAACATCCTAAATTTATAAAAATTTCTCATCAACTTTTATATTTATAGAACATTTTCTTTTTAAAATAACATATAATGTAAAAGTCCAAGTTTATTAAACAAAAATACAAAACTGCTGTCCTTATTCTATTATTAAACTTTATTAATTTTTCTCACTTTACATCCAGAACAAAAAAAAAAATATGTAAATAAATTTTTAATGCTTCTCATTGCTCGTCCTTGTAAAAAACTTTTCTTCGAACAACATTAACAAATTTACAAAGTTTATTCAATTATTACTACAACATTACACATTATTCCCTTAATTCCTTTTGACCTCAACGTTAAAAAAAAAAGAAGAGGAAAAAATACAAAAAAAAAATCTTAAACATACTTAATAGATCAGTGTTTAATCTTGGCAAAAGAAAGGAAAATATTTTACACTGATACTGTAAAAGAATTTCAATGAAATTTCCGTTAAATCATTAGAAAGCATGAATGAAATCCCTTCGATGCCACTTAACACACAATTAATTTTAACTATAGAAATTAGTTTTCTTCATATACCCCTGCCCAACAGCCCCAATGAGCATTAAATATACAGTTTATTTAACGTAAATGTTTAAGTCAATGGAAAAATTTTATCCACTTAATGACAACTAAGTAAAGACTAAAGAAAATAAAAAAGACCAAAAAATAAAATAAAAATACATAATAGGTAGAATAGCAGTAAAATATATATAAAAGCAAATATCAACACCCAGTAGCTGTAGCAAGTAAGAGTAATTAAATGGATCTAGTTTTCAGCACAAAAACAAGAAAAAAAAAGAAAAATTACATGGACTTGTTGAATTTTTAAACATTATTTTCTATTTGCTTTTACGTCACTTGTAGTAATTAAAAAAATATATAGAAAACTAGTAAAAGTTTTAGTGACATTTTACAAATTGTTAAAAATCACCAACATGTAAGGGGTTTATTTAATGGTGTAAAGGAAATTTTAGTAAAAGCTAAAACGACAAGTGTTTCACAATAAATTTCTGGTATTTTTTTGGTTTTGCCGTTTTTTTCTTAATTGTACAGGGGTTAATTTATGTACAAAAAAGGTTATTTTAGTGTGTGGAAGTGAAATGAAAAACTAATTTACAACTTGTATGTGCTGGCCTAAATGTCGTACAATGACTTGTATGATATTTTTTCCATTTCATTTATGTTTTCTGTTACATTTTTTCGCACAAACATGTAGAAAATTTAAATAATTTCCTTTAAATGTTAAAACAAACGCATTTGTATTTCAATTATGTTATACAAAGCGGTTTTTTGATAATTGTAGCGATTGGCGATTTACTATTGGTGTTATTGCTATTAGGGCAAAATGGGGAAAATATGAAAAAAGACGAGACAGGAGAACATGTGAAACGGCCAATTAGTAGGAGTGTGAGGGTGCATAAAAGTTTAGGTAGATGCGAAACAGTGCTGAGAAAACGAAGGAGAAAGGGAAAGAAGGGCAAAAAAAAAGAGACAGCGGAGGGAAAGAGCGGCGAAAATAAAGCGATGCGTCCACGAGCGAGCGAAGAACGAGGGGGACAGCAAGGGAGCAGCGAAGGGCGAGCGAGCGAGCTAGCATGCGAGCGACGATCGAGCAGCGGCGAGCGAGCGAGCGAGCGAGCGAGAGAGCGAGCAGCGAGCGAGCGAGCGAGCGAGCGAGCGAGCGAGCGAGCGAGGCAGCGAGCGAGCGAGCAGCGAGCGAGCAGCAGCGAGCGAGCGAGCGAGCGAGCAGAGCGAGCGAGCGAGCGAGGAGCGCGCGAGCGAGCGAGCGAGCGAGCGAGCGAGCGAGCGAGCGAGCGAGCGAGCGCTAGCGTAGCGAGCGAGCGAGAGAGCGAGAGAGCGAGACGAGCGAGAGCGAGCGAGATCGAGCGAGCTAGCGAGATAGCGAGCGAGCGAGCGAGCGAGCGATCGATCGAGCGAGGAGCGAGGAGAGTAGAGACGAGCGAGCGAGCTAGCGAGCATCGATCTAGCGAGCTATATCTAGATATCTATTGATCTATCTATCTATCTATCGATCTATCTATCGATCGATCTATCGATCAGCGATCTAATCTATCTATATCTATCTATCTGTCTGTCTGAACGTTTTCAAAAAGTCTTCAAATCGTAATTTTTTAAAAAATCACTTCAAATTTCCTAAAACCGCTTTAACAAAATTTATTACTGTTAGTTAACACCATGGGGCGACATCATTACTATTTAAATATTTTTGTATTTTTACAATAATTTTTACAACCTACAATGATAAACCAAATATTAACGCTAATGTTTGTAAGATAAAAAATACAAGCTATTAAAGCTTTTGTTTACATATTTATAGGAATTTATTTAGCAATATCATCATAAATTTTATCGAATAATAGGTATTGCACCAGCTAGTAAAAACAGTAACAGAACAAATAATATTTCTTGTGTACAAATAAAATGAAAATGATAAAAATAAATCGAAACGTAGTAAATATAAATGGCATCATCATTAACCATAGATAACAAAAAGCCAAAAATAATAAATAAAATAAAAAATAAGTTTAGCAAAAACATACAAAAAAATTGAAAGTCAGTGAATGATTTAATAATTCAAATCAAAATGCTGAAAAAAAAACGAGGACAAACAAAACTTTATGTTAATTATCTATATTTTAATCTCATAGTTTAACTGATTTTATGTTATTATTAAATATTTTGTAATATTTGTTTAATATGATTTTATAATTTTACATTAATTTATTTTTTATAATAACATCGAAAAACATATGTGAGGCATCGAAAAATAAACCGCAAGATAAAATAAAAGCTGAATGAATGATTTATTTATGAAAATTGGAATTAATTAAAAAACCGCATTTATATTAGTGACATAATAATAAAATAATAAATAAATAAATTTCGTTAGAGTTAATTTTAAAATAAAGAAAATTTTTTAAAAACTATTTTCGTTGTTAAAGAATTAAATTAAAGTTTTTGCAAATATAACATTTACTGAGGTTTTCTGGGACACATAATCCTCGTTTTCTAAAGTAAATGATTTAAAATTCGATATATAGTTAACATTCTTAAAAGCTGGAATGACTCAAAAACAACGTTTCGACATGCTTAAAGCGATCAATAACTCTAAAATTTGCACCTAGAAGCGGGACACAGAATCCTCATTTTCTAAAGTAAATGATTTAACATTTGATATATAGTTAAAATTCTTAAAAGCTGGAATGACTCAAAAACAACGTTTCGACATGCTTAAAGGGATCAATAACTTCTCTCTAATTTGCACCTAGAAGTGTCTTCAAACTATTTGTTAAACAATAATGTGGATCTATAAAAACTTTTTGAATCAAAAATATAAACTCGAAAGTCAGATGGTAGAAAAAAAAACTTTGCAATTGGTTGATGAACACAGAATTTTATAAAGAATAAAAAATTCAAATGTTTTAAAATTTTTGGATTCAAATGAAATCCTTAAAGTTCAGCAATAACATCATATAAGAATCTGGAAACCTTTGAAAACTTTTGTCATTTTTCATGTTTTAAATGGTGATACATCAGTAAGTTTGAAAAGTTTTAATGGCCTCCACCTGGTTATAAAAGATAAATATTATTATATGGATTTCACTAGGGTCCTATATTCTATAGTCTCCACCTGTTTATATCACATAATAGCTTGCTCTTTTGTTGTAGGGCAGTCACAGGTCTACTTGTGTATCAATAGAAAGGTCCTTTCGATAAATATTATATTTATTACTTGGTAAACGAAATACAATTATATGTATGTACATATGTATATAAAAACTTTGGGACAGGCCTTTAGATCCGTTTTTCCATTTTTGTACTCAGAAGAGGAAAGTATATACATATGTATGTGATATAAACAGTATACTTAATATCACATTGATTGGAGATCATAAGTTAAGTTTCTTGTTCCAACACTGCCTGTGGCAACTTTATACTTATTTTAACACTTAATTTCTATAGAATCTATAGTATAGATGTAAAGAGAATTCATTCTTTTTAATTTCTGACAAGTTTTTAACCACAACCAAGAGCAATTTTTCCACAAGATTTCTAACAATTTTTTTAATTTCACTAATTCTACAGTATATTCAGCAGTTAACAACAAAAATTAAATAATTTATTTGATTAGAATTAATTTCCCCCAACTTTAAAATACAATCACAAATTTAATCACCCGGTATAAAAAAACCAACAACAACTAACCTATTATGTTTTGTATATTTACTCCACAAACTTCATATCTTCCCTACATGAGCGCAAAAGGGATAGCAATAGAAAAATACAGAAAAGACAAAACATAATAAAGAAAAACTGACGTAATCCCAACAACACTTTATTATTCTACATTTATTTTCTTTTATTTATTTTGTGGGACATTATGTCGCCTTCAATGAAAAAACATGAATGTTTATAAAAAAAAAACACGCAAGAAAAACTTCAATTGAAAATCAATAATTGATAACAAAAATACACAATTACATTTTGTTTTAATTTCATACACCAAAACACAAAAGAAATGTAAAAAGGTGTTAATAACTAATGACAACTAACCTCCATTATTCTGCTTCTTTTTTATACGAGATCTTTAATAAAATTTAACAATTATAAGGGAAATATCCTCTTTTTTTAAACAATAAAAACTTTGTTTAATTTATTGTTTTCTATATAAAATTAATATTGCACTTTTATTATTAGAAATTTCAACAATTTGCTGTTCTTTTTGGGCGTCGTCGCTTTTTTTTTTGTATGTTTTTATTTACGCACTTTTTGTCAATTTTGTTTTACACAAATGTTTTGCTTTTTTTATGTTATTTTATAGTTTACTACAAGAACAGTTATTTACTTTTATTTATATTGTTATTTATTGTATTTTTAATTCAATAATTTATAAATAAATATTTTTATAAATGCACTCGTTTAATTTGTAATGAGTAATAATGCGAAGAGAAAAAACACACGCCACAAAAACAACCTTATCAAACCGAGCTCAAAAACAAACTGTCAAAAAATGTAGAGTTTGCGTACAACAGAGTTGCTGAGTTGTGAGTTTTTGTTTATAATACAATAACACAGGGTTGTATTTTTAGATACGTATATGTAAAATGAAATTATAAGGAATTTATTAACTAATAATAATAAATAAAATTTTTAATAAAATGTATGAACGTAGAACGTATATTCAATAAATTTTTATTTTATTTATTAATAATATAATATTACATTTTTCTAGATATTTTAGAAATTAAATAATAAATTTCTCTGTTTTGCTTCATTTTGTGTACCTGTTTTCAAAATTGTTGTTGATAATATTTAAAGGATATGCACACATGTTAATTTAGAGGTTTCTAGGTACTTAATAATCCTTTAGCTGACCTTTTATGATGTACAAAACCTTTGGTTTATAGCGTTTAGAAAAATTCCGCGAAATGATTATAATACTGGGAATTATGAAAAATGTTTAAAGTAAACTTATGTATAATATCCAAGCCTATTAATTTAAAGTTTTTTTTTTATTTTAAATTATATAAATTTTATTATATTTAATTCATAAAAAATTATGTTATACAAATTAATATCTAAATTTATTTTATACAGGGGAAGGAATGAAAGTAATCTGGTTTCGAAGTCCCTATAGGCGAACGCAACACAGGCCAACGATGAAAAATCTTTGTAAATAATAAAGTTAGAAATAAATAAGTTGTATCACCCACAAATTTTCCTCTTTTTCATCTTTTAGTATTTCTGACTATATACTTATTTCCCAAAATATAAAGTTCTGTAATATTACAGAAGTTGCCAATATTGGCCGTCTTTGCCTCTAGACTTATACTTTGAGTTATAGAAATGCATTCTGTAAAAATATAGCGCGATAGAACTACGTAACTGGTGGCACCACGGCTCTCAAGGGGAAATTAATTTTAACAGCTTATAATTGAAATCTGAAGGAAATTATCGTTTCAAAACACAAAAAATTAAAAGAAATTGTAAAAGTTATTACAAATTTCTCCGATCATTTAGTGTCACAAAACACTTAACTGAAAAAAATTAAAAAAAAAATTGGAAAATATTCTAATAAAACAAAGTAATATATTAAATATATTAATTTTAACTTAAATGTGAGTTTTTATCCTCATTAGATAGCGTAAATCGTATTTGAGGTATAGTCATAAATGGGAAACCCTTCAGACGGCAGTTTCAGAACTCCAGTTTTAAACTTTTAACAATTTTGTTAAAAAATTTGAAAATTTTAAGAAAATAACCATGTGACTTATGGAAAACAAAAAAGCAAAGAAACTAGGTCGATATCTCTTACAGATTAGCGGTACCTGCGATTAGAATTTTGAGGATTTCAAAAAACAATATATAAATTTTTCGATAAATAAGCTTTATTCTTTACAGTTATGTATTATTGTATAAACATTTTTCAGAATATAAAATTCAAGATAATAGGAAACATATATCTGAAGTTTTCATAAAATCGAATAATGTTAACCCATAAACTGTGAAGGTTAAAATCGAGCTATGCCATATTGGGAAATGTTCTTGATATCATAGTTAAATCTTATTTTGTTTTCAACAGATTTAAATGGAACTTAGAAAATAATATATAACGAAGACCCGTATATGTGACGACATAGGAAAAAGTTGAAATTAACCCTTAAACGTAAATATATTTCTATAACTTTATGAAAATGTACGTAATATATGAATAAAATATTCGATTCGATATATGAACAAATATTTTGCCAGAAAATGGTGGGTGATAGAGAAAAAGAGATATCAGTTACAGTTATGTATTATTGTATAAACATTTTTCAGAATATAAAATTCAAGATAATAGGAAACATATATCTGAAGTTTTCATAAAATCGAATAATGTTAACCCATAAACTGTGAAGGTTAAAATCGAGCTATGCCATATTGGGAAATGTTCTTGATATCATAGTTAAATCTTATTTTGTTTTCAACAGATTTAAATGGAACTTAGAAAATAATATATAACGAAGACCCGTATATGTGACGACATAGGAAAAAGTTGAAATTAACCCTTAAACGTAAATATATTTCTATAACTTTATGAAAATGTACGTAATATATGAATAAAATATTCGATTCGATATATGAACAAATATTTTGCCAGAAAATGGTGGGTGATAGAGAAAAAGAGATATCAGATTCGGTTTCAGCAGCTGAAACTTTATTTTTTTCAATTTTCCTCTGTATTTGAATAAAATTCATAAATTTTTATGAAAATACTGCATTATTATTTTTGTTTACAAAGTAATCACTAACGTTTAAAAAAGTAATCATTAAATGTATGTATCTATTTATTGCAATGTTCGGCTAAAACAGTGCTGCCAAGTTTATAAAGATAGTCATGTTAACATTCAATGAAACTCTGTGATCGACTAACTGTAATGTTAATTAACATCATGCAAACAAATTATAACATCAAGTGTAAAATGAAAAGACGTTAATTTTGAACATGTAACAGTTTAACAAAGAAGCAGATTAGAGTAATAATCAATATATATATATATATATATATATATATATATATATATATATATATATATATATATAAAAATGAATGTTTGTATGTTTGTATGTTTCTATGTTTGAACGTTATAGACTATTAAACGGCTGAACCGATTTTCTTGAAATTTTCACAGTTTCTATGTTTGAACGTTATAGACTATTAAACGGCTGAACCGATTTTCTTGAAATTTTCACAGCTTATTCCTGCATGTCTGCATAGGTAATAGGCTACTTTTTATTTCGAAATTTCAAGTGGGCGATGAGCCACGCCCACATTAAGAAAATATGAAATCCGTATATTTGAGATAATATAACAGTTAGAGTCCTCAAATTTTGTCGGAGCCACTTTAGTGTCAATATGATCATTTAGGACAAAAAGTAGGCGGACTAGCATTAGGGGGCGTGGTACCTCCCATATAAATTAAATACAAAAATTCGTTTATCTGGGAAACTAATAGAACTAAATTCTTAAAATTTAGCACGAAGAACTTTAACATCCATGTAAACATTTTGGGTAATAAATTGGCGGACTACCCATGAGGGGAGCGGCACCTCCCATATTAATTAAAAACAAAAATTTGTTTATCTGGGAAACTAATAGAACTAAATTCTTAAAATTTTGCACGAAGAACTTTAATATTCATCTGAACATTTTTAAGGAAAAAAGAGCGGACTTTCATCTGGGGGGCTTGGAGCCCCCATATGAATAAAATAGAAAAATTCGTATATCTGAGAAACTATTAGAGCTAGAATCTTTAAATTTTACTTGAAGAACTTTGACATTCATCTGAACATTTAGAATATAACGGGCGGACTTCCAATGGGGTACTTGGTACCTCCCATATGAATTAAATACAAAATTTCGTTTAACTGGGAAACTAATAAAACTAGATTCTTCAAATTTTGAACAAATTATTTTAATATTCATCTGAATATTTTGTAGGAAAAAGGGCGGACTTTCATCCGGGGAGCTTGAAGCCCCCACATGAATTAAATTCGTATATCTGAGAAACTATTAGAGCTAGAATCTTCAAATTTTACATGAAGAACTTTGACATTCATGTGAACATTTAGAGAATAACGGGCGGACTTTCAATAGGGGGCTTGGCACCACATATATGAATTAAATACAAATTTTTCATAGATAGAAATTGGCGAACTTGCAATAATTTGCTTGGCATCTCTCATATGTAACATATTGTTAATCTGGAAAACTATTGTAGTTAGAATTTTCAAAGTCGTTAAGTGGGTTTTTTATTTAATCAGTTTAAACGGCTAAACTGATTTTCTTGAAATTTTCACAATATCTTCCTGTATGTCTGGAAGGAGTTATAACTGTTTTTTATGTTGAAATTTCAAATGAGCGAGGTCCCACGTATAGAGTCCCCAAATTTTGTACAAGTAACTTTTGTTTAAATACAAATATTTTGGACAAAAATAGGGAGTTCAGCAAAAGCGGGCGTGGCACCTCCCATATGAAGTAAATACTAAAATCTAATTATTAAAATCTGTATATCTAGAAAACTATAACAGCTAGAGTCCCCAATTTTGGTGCCTCTCACGTGAAGTAATTACAAAAAATTGATTATTCTTACTTTAAAAAATTTTTGAAAAATCTACGTTTAGTGCGTTTGAAAATTATTATATCTTGAAATATGTAAGGTATAAAACCCTTAAATGGATGAGTTTGAAATTTTCAACTCATATACATAGTAAGTACTAAAATTCATAATATTCAAATATTTATCTTGAAAAACATATACATATGCAATATGTTATTGTTTACTTTTAAAATGGGTAGCTAATAAAAATATTATTTATTTGTCGCATATTTAAAAAAATACATTAGGTATTTATTGGGCGATGAATGGGCATGTAACATTAGGCAGTAATATTTTCATTCATTACTTTTAATTACCTATGTTATAAAATGTAAACTGTCAATAGTTTACTTTTTATAACTTAGGTAAGTAGTTGCAAAACTCATCAAAAAAATTACCTGTGACCGACGCAAGCACAACTATTTGTTAAATTGTAATAACCTTAACCATTTGTTCAAAAGGTTTTTGACCTGAACCGATTTTGTACCTATTCATATTGACCTGAACCGATTTTGTACCTATTCATATTAGGTAAAAAATCTTTAAATTTTACTTGAAGAATCTTGACATTCATCTGAACATTTAGAGTATAACGGGCGGACTTTCAATGGGGAACTTGGTACCTCCCATATGAATCTATATATATAAAAATGAATGTGTGTTTGTTTGTATGTTTATATGTTTGTATGTTTGAACGTTATAGGCTACTAAACGGCTGAACCGATTTTATTCAAATTTTCACAGCGTATTCCTGTATGTCTGGAATAGGTAATAGGCTACTTTTTATTTTGAAATTCCAAGTGGACGAGGAGCCACGCCCATATTAAGAAAATATTAAATCCGTATATTTTAG